CTCAAAATCACACACTATCAAGATTTAACGCATTTCACAGTTTGTAAAGTTTCCCATTTTAATATTCACACTTTAATATTCTGTTTCAGCTGTGGTAGCCACTGTCTACGTCCTGTGGAAGGCTTTCATAAGGACACAGAAACCTGCATGGCGGACAAGCAACCGTCGTCTATCCCGCTGTGAACACGCCGAGATGGCAAGCATAGACATTCTCGATATTCTGCAGCCCAACTTCCAGCAGACAAAAACCCAAGCCATGATTTCTGAGAAAATGAACATGGAACGAGAACTGAGGTTCAATCCTGAATATTGTGTGGACAATGGTGTGAATTGGAGCGACATGGTTGGGGATATGGCAGGGGTGGGGGCAGAGGTGGCCCCAGAGTATCAGCTGTGTGAGGAGGGGGAGTCACGTGTCACTGTGTGGGGACTGGAGGTGATTGAGGAGGAGGAGTAGATATGTGTTTGTATTTGTACATACCTGTAAATATGGAAAATGAAAATAAGTGTGTACATTTTTAACTTTAAATCAAAATCAGTTTTGTATTATTTTGTTTGAATATATTTGTGTTTAATTATATGAATAACATAAAACCATTTCTTTTGTTCTTTCATTGATAATTTTTCATGCTACATGCAGGATACACATGTATACTAGCGGCACGGGTGGCTCAGTAATCAAAGGCGCCGCAATTCGCAGTGCAGAGTTGTGTCCCTTTGGCGATTTTTAAGCATAGTATCGTGGGCTCGAATCCCGGTTGGCCCTGATTATGTCGCAGTTTTGTCAGCACCATACCCGTGATTGAGGGTCTTACATTAGTGTGGTAAAACAGTGTTAACCAAACTCACTCACTCATAATACCCTCAAGCCTACCAGCGAGTGAGTGAGTGAGTGAGTGATTCCTGGGCCAAAGTTGATGTTGTATCCGCTTCCAGACACTGGAGCTGATCAATGTCCGAGGCCCCTGGTTATTGTAGGACACAGGGCAACTCTTTATACAGTACAGTAGTAAGTCACCAATGGTGCTGTCTCGCTGTACAGAACAACCACAACAGAAGGCACTGTATACACGTGAGCAGTTTCGATTGTGGCAGCTAGCGTTTAGGAAATGCATTGAATGATACAATGGTAATTATGGCGGAGGGAATTGTACAGGATTCATAAAGTGATATTGCGTTAGCACCCCCTTTAATTCTTGTGGCAAAGTCAAATAAAAATAGGAAAACCTTCCATATTGTATACTCTTAAACTATATAGTGTCATGTTTTCAGATTAGTCCCATTTCACCTTGCCCGTGTTCACCGTGTGTGTGTGTGTGTGTGTGTGTGTGTGTCTGTGTGTGTCTGTTTAAACTATTGCCGCAGTTTAACATGAATACCCCTCCCTGACACAGTATACTGACTCTGAGCCGACCAGATTGTTTTAGCCCCTTATGCTGAGCGCCAGATAGGGTAACAACAAGAACCATCTTTTAACATCTTTTGGTATGATGTGACCGGGGATCGAACCCCGGACCTTCGCTTTCACAGCGGACGCTCTACCACTAGACCACGGAGGCTGTCTTTTTTGAAAGAGTATATATGCGGAAATACGTTTAACTTAGAAATATGCAAGTATGACGAGACAACACACTATTCATACAGGACATTCCGTCGTTCCCTGTAATGACATATAGAAAAAAAACTAATTTAAACGATGAGGTGAATGCGGTAACCGCAGCTTGAGTTCATGACACACATGTGGTAGTTATAATGGATGGGTGTGTGCAACTCGAGTCGTGTTTTGACTCCATGTGGAAAGTTCGATTTTCGAGCTTCTCGCAATTTAATTTTCCTATGTATGATTTCATTAAACAGGTGAGTTTTCCAAATGGTTTGTGTGTAAATTGATTAAGAAAGTTCCGTTCTTAATCGTCGACAGCAGTATCTGAACATTGCAAGTTTTCCTGGAATATGCGTAAGATAATTATCATAATGTTATCCTCAAACTTATGGTCTAATTTGTTCTCTTATCTCTGACAACAGTACATAAACATTGCAAGTCAAAACGGCAAATGCCTACACATGATTTTCAACTTACTCAGTGCTCGCCCTTCGAGGCAATCTTTATCAAAGGGAAGCTACTCTAGTCTCTACGACGGCAAAATGAAACACGGTACAATTTAGGCCAAATTCAACTGTTATAAACTCGGGAAGGACACACACACACACACACACACACACACACACCTCAAAGGCGCTTAGGTCCATAGGCACAGATATGGATATATATATGCCAACTGTATTCGCTAAAGTGCTTCGCTTATTTCTCCAGGGCAATGTTGCTGCACATGTAAAAGACTCCAGTTAGCTGGAAAGGCAACAGATCCCGATAGCGTCCTCGCTACATCTATTTGCCTACACGTGCGAGGAACTGGGTTTCTGTATCCTTCCATTATCTTGATAGTAATAAAACAAAACGTATACCAGTTATTAGTCAAGATTTGTCAATTCTGACTCGATCGCCCATAGACGTGGTGACGCCATGTTTGTTTGCAAACACTGAAACTACGGAGTACCTCCCTGGCCTTTCATATACATTCTGCACAGTAATTCGATAATGAGTCAAACGTTATGAGAAACATACCCACTAATGGTACGTCTAGGCCTACATTTCTGCCTAGTTACATCAGCAACATATAGTTACAATTTATGATATATATCTCATTCGAAACGCTAAATTGATCCGTTGATATTTTAAAGATGTCCGGTAAATTCAGATTTTACTTATAAGGTCGATTGAAAGAGATCAAAGAAGTACTGAGGATGGTTAGAAAGGTCCAATAAACAATGGGCAAAGCTAGTTTACGCGTACGGGTGTGTGAGGTTAACACAAATATCATTAGCTAAGATCAGGAAAATAAAGTTGTGATGTGCCAAATCATACAAGTAGAGGTGTGACATACCATCAGATCAGCTATAATCTTAACCAGGGAACGCTTTGATATTAAACTATCCACAGTGTCGAAAGACATGCACTCAAAGTATTCAGCGCGTTCTGCCAGTGACAGTTTTTGCTGTAGAGTTGCCTAAATGATGGTGATGTATTTGGCACGTGTCCTATCTTCCCGGAGCACCTGGTGCATGGCATGATATGGAAGTCTTCTGATGTTTACCTGGATGTCGATGGAATATATCTCATGCATGTTAGATATAATCACATTGCAGGAAAGTAGCTCTGGTCGAGAACTAACGATTTGTTTCACATGTCGGTGTTTACAGTGGCTGTTAAATCAACCACACAAAGGTGTCGGAGTTAGTATAAGTGAGAGTAAATATTTCTTTCCGTCGATCGCATCACTACTTTTGCACATTTTCCAAGCTGAAGCTCATTTGAATTCGCGGTCCTTTCCTCGTGCATATTGTATGAAGATGATTTATACATTGTGCGTGGACATACGACCACTAGTGTATAGTCCGAGTGGTATGTACCATGGAACCAATCGTCAAAGCCTTACAGTGGTACTTATACGTTAAGAGAAACAAATTTCAACCAAGATAACGACAATATCACTAAAAATTGCCCTAACGAATTATTGTAAACGATCACGTCACTAGGGCTAACGGGTTGGAGTTATTTCATGTCCTGCCCTATTTCTGCAATCTGTCGACCGAAAGTCGGGGTTACAGTGCATGTACAGTTGGCTCAAGAAAAAGCATACGTTCTTCCAAATTCAGGAATATTTGACTCGCCATGATCATTGCATTGCATGGCACCCAGGAGGGTCACAGATGTTACCTCCAGCATGTTTGTTTGTTTTTTTAAGGCCAAACACATTCCAGCTTTATGACGTCGGTCTGTAAATGATCGAGTGTGGACCAGACAAGCCAGTGATTGACATCATGAGCATCGATCTGCGCATTTGGAATACGACAATACAATCAACCAAGTCTGCGAGTCTGACCAGTGACCACCCTACCCACATGGGAGTTGTACTCCTGTCTAGCAATAACTGTATAGAGGACTGCCCGTTCCATTAGTGCAACACAATAATCTACATTCGTCACCACTTGCCCCTTTCCGTAACCCGCAAGAAGACTCGTCCCCCTACCGATGAATGTCACTTGCGAAAAAACGACTTGTCCCGGAATAACACGAGCTGCTCAGGAATGAATAATACAATGACGTCCTCATCGTTTACATAGGCTGGTTCCTCGCTTTCTCTACGCGTCTATCTTTTGTCACTCTCTTACCAAGAGTTCCATGCGACCAACATGGTACCTCTGCCACAGGCCAGCGCCATGTGACGATTCGTCACATCTTTCACAGTCCATTCAAGATATTGCATATGCTTTTCATCCGTTTCATGTTTGACAAGTCTACACATTTTCATAAACAAATGTCAAAGAATGGTTACGGTTCATTAAGAAAGTATCCTTATACGTGAAAATCTACTTGTTTTTGCGTAGTTATCCTTTGTTTACATTGGTTGTACGGCTCCATGTGCTGTCATCGAAGCCCAACGGAGAGCTAGCGATACGGTCACTTTGATGTATAAATATATATTGTCATACAACTCACTGTCGCAGTTGTAGTAGCATATCTATATAATTATGCAAAACAATATGTAAAGCGCCCCCAAATACTTGTATTTGTCCGTTCTATACTGATTTCTGTAAAAAACGGGTTTGTTTACAAACAAGAAAAAAGTCCGGTCACGTGATATGCAAATTAGCTCATGGCAGCGGTGTTATGCTTAATCACCACTGCGTCGGAATGTGATGAAGAGAAACCTAAGCTGGACCTCGTCTTTAATATCGCAAAATGACGACGCGCAAAGGGAGCCGGGAGCCAGCTTAAGATGGAACCCAGCTAAATCTACGCAAACACGTGACGTCACTGGTGTTACACGTCACAATTGTCACTATGAGCCATGACGTCACAATCACGACAAAGCTGTCTGCCCGTATGGTACTAACTTGTCACGCTCTTCGAGTTTTCCGTCGTTTTGAACACCAAGATGCCTCCTAACTGGATTCTACCGGCTCGTACGAGGTAAGATTGTCTTGTTTTCAGCTGGGGGCAGTGGTATGGGCCAGTGGGTTACGTTTTCGCTCGTCAAACCGAAGACCCGCTTCGAGTTCACACATGTGAACAACGTGTGAAGCATATTGTAGGTGTCCCCCGCCGTGATAATGCTTGAAGCGGCATTAAAACCCAACTCACTCACTCTCAAACCTGATTGTATCTGTCGTTGCATATAAAGCCAAAAAAGGGCCTTTAATTGTCACATTTTTACTTAGTTCTAACAACTAATCATTATTGGGACAGAATATCAACTCAACACTTTTTGAGTCATTATGTCAAAGTAAATGTAACGGGCAAAGGAAAGTGCATACTTGAAAAACAGATTTGACCAAAACATTAACACACGTTATCAAATCGTTACTTGACTGAAAACAGTCGCCGAAACTCTGCAAAGTTAAGGTCCAAACATTACTATGATATCCATATCGAATACATCATCCCCTAATAATCACTTTGGTTTGTTTCATTTTTAGCCATCTTCAAACATGGGTGTATACTTTCTTTTGTCCGACATTTAGCTTATCACAATAAAATAATTTTCATGGTGATATCTTTATTCAAAGCGACTTTATGGTTACAAGATGACTTTATGCCATATGTCATCCCTCTTTTTATTAAACCCGCTCTGTTTCAGTACTACGACAATCTCGTCAGCTGACGTCACCTCCTACGTTTCTTTTCGTGGTGAGTATATTACACAGCAACCGACAACTGATGTTCATTTATGAATATTTGATGTATCTGAATTTTATGTTGGATGTCATTTCATATATATAATACCTCATCATTATGTAAACGTATTAAATAACTGATGGGAAATGTCCAATATCAGTCCCTCATGATGTAAAAGGTCGATCATCTTGTTACGTTTGAAATATTACATATGTGATTGTTTTCTTTCAGATGTCACGTGGTTTTGTCCAGGAAACATCTGTCTTATCACTCTCGCAATAATTGCAGGAATTGGTAGGTTATTTCTCTCTTCCTCCTCTTCTGAATCGTTTAGTACCTCAAAATCACACACTATCAAGATTTAACGCATTTCACAGTTTGTAAAGTTCCCCATTTTAATATTCACACTTTAATATTCTGTTTCAGCTGTGGTAGTCACTGTCTACGTCCTGTGGAAGGCTTTCATAAGGACACAGAAACCTGCATGGCGGACAAGCAACCGTCGTCTATCCCGCTGTGAACACGCCGAGATGGCAAGCATAGACATTCTCGATATTCTGCAGCCCAACTTCCAGCAGACAAAAACCCAAGCCTTGATTTCTGAGAAAATGGACATGGAACGAGAACTGAAGTTCAATCCTGAATATTGTGTGGACAATGGTGTGAATTGGAGCGACGTGGTTGGGGATATGGCAGGGTTGGGGGCAGAGGTGGCCCCAGAGTATCAGCTGTGTGAGGAGGGGGAGTCACGTGTCACTGTGTGGGGACTGGAGGTGATTGAGGAGGAGGAGTAGAAATGTGTTTGTATTTGTACTTACATGTAAATATGGAAAATGAAAATAATTGTGTACATTTTTAATTTTAAATCAAAATCAGTTTTGTATTATTTTGTTTGAATATATTTGTGTTTAATTAAATGAATAACATAAAACCATTTCTTGTGTTCTTTCATTGATAAAATTTCATGCTACATGCAGGATAAACATGTATACTAGCGGCACTTATTATCGTGGGTTCGAAAACCGGTCGGCCCTAATTATGTCACTAGTTTTGTCAGCACCATACCCGTGCGTGTGGGTCTTAAAAAGTTGTAGACACATAAGATCTGCACCACATGAGCTTTCTCTTCAACATCACGCTGACACGCCGTGAAATAACTGGGAAAACCGTTCAAACCAAACTCACTCACTCACAAAACCCTTCCAGCCCACCAGCGAGTGTGTGATACCTGGGTTAAAGTTGATGTATCCGCTTCTAGACACTGGGGTTGATATATGTCCAAGGCCGCTGGTTATTGAAGGACACGGGGCAACTCTTTGTACAGTATGTATGCCCCAAAAGTAAGTAAAAAATGGTGGTGGTACAGAACAGCCCCAACAGAAGGCACAGTTTTGACTGTGGCAGCTAGCGTTAGGAAATGCATGGAATGAGACAATGTGTAATTTTGGCAGAGGGAATTGTACTGGACTTGAACATTGATGATGCGTCAGATGCACCCGCTTCAAATATTGTGGACACGTCAAATGAAAATAGGAAAAGGTTCACAAATATACTCTTAAAACACAGTTGGGGGTAATGGAATATAAATATTAATACCAAGTATTAGAACAAAGATAAGTGTTGCCGACAAACATCCTATGCAAGAACAGATGTGTCTGTGAAACTTGACATCAGAACACATCCTATAGTTTGCACGTGCTACACGGAGTAGCACCACACACGTTCGTAGGGCGTCATTCCTGATTTTGACGCTTTCAAGGAAGGTCGAGTAGTCTCTGTGGACCATTATTTATGTCAATCATATTGATTCTTATCATACAGTTGTGATTCACTTGATTACATTGAGAATGTCAATGTTTGTCAGTTAACTTGCGATTCATCGTCTGCATCGCGCGGAGCGTCGAAGGCTATTGGCATGCTGGAATCTTACAGAAGTCAATACGTTCAATGTTAAGACTATGGCAATGGTACCACCAAACCCAAAATGTTGACGATCTTCCCCGTTCAGGGCGTCCCAGGTCAACGACAAGAATACGGGATCGATTGATCCGCAACCAGGCTCTAAGAAATTGAGCTCAAAGGGTGAATCAAACAGCTTCAAACTTTCGTCAGGCTACTGGAGTACGAGGTACAGGTCAGACGTTTAGAAATCGTCCACATGCAGCCCATCTCCATGCTCGACGGCCACGTGTTGTGCCGTCCCTCACCCCTTCTATATATAGACAACAGACGTCAATGATGTACACAGCGTCGACATCGTCGCTGGTCACGTCTCATGTTTTCGGATGAGTCCCAATTCACTTTGCAATGCCTTGATAGGCGTGGTCGTGTCTGGTGACGTCGAAATGAACGCCAAGCCAATGTCAACATGAGACCTCATCACATATCTGGCGGTGGATCGGTTATAACTGAGCGAACCCCACACCATATTGTGCAAGGAAGGAGTCACAAGGCAGGACTATCGGGACAACATACTGACACCCTTTACTGTCCCGTTTGCAAAGGCGTGGGGGTCGACCTGTTGTCTTTCACGTCAACGCCCGTGTTCACCGTGCACGAATCGTCAATGCTCACCTCCAGCAGCACAACATCCATAAAATACCCTGGCAAGAAATAAGCCAAGACCTTTCCCTCATTGAACACGTCTTGGACATGATAGGGAGACGTGAGAGCCAACGTCATATGCTGCCGACTACGTTGGTCGAACTTGGCCAGGTGTAGCAAGAGGAGAGGGACAGGATCCCTCAAATCGCATTTCGGGGATTCATACGCAGTTTGCGTCTTGGAGAGAATGAATGTTTGACAAATCGTAACGGGATAACGCACTACTGATCCAAAAACGTCTACTTTGAAATTTCCCATCTTATGCCTATCGTCCTTCAACATCGTTGGCGGTCATAACATCTGCTGTCATACATCACTACCCATTGTAACGCATTACAAATTCGTTCATTACTATCATACAACTATTACAACAAACTAATATCTCTTACATTCTTGGACATTTTACATTATTTCCGCGGGTCCCCTTATATTGAAAGGTCAGGTGAGGTGAAATCGTGTGTGTGTGTGTGTGAGTGTGTGTGTCTGCTTGTACTAGTCTGGACTAATGCCGATTTATAGTGCTAGCCCACTGATATACCACTGATAACTATTACTACAACTAATCTCTCTTACATTCTTGGACATTTTACGTTATTTCCGCGTATCCCCTATTTTGATTAGAGTATATATGCGGAAATACGTTCGATGTGTGCATGTATGACTGGTTGGAGCACTATTGGAAGACTTTTCTTACGGGACATTTTCGTCGTTCCCAGTAATGACATAAAGAGAGAAAAAGCTATATTAAACTATGATGGGAATGCGGTAACCGCAGCTTGAATTCATGATTCACATGTGGTAGTTACAACAGATTCTCTTTTTCTTGGTAGGTGTGTGCAGCTCAACGTCGGGTTTTGACTCCATATGGAAAAAAATTTACACACAAAGTTATACAAATAGGGTGTGCTGTGGGATGGTAAATGTCCTGTGGTGGGAGTGAAAATTCCGTTCTTAATAGTCGAAACTGTAATTATCATCTATGACAACAGTACCTAAACATTGCAAGTTTTCCTGGCATATGTGTAAAATAGTCATCATTATGTTATCCTCAAATTGTATCGTCTAATTTGTTCTCTTATCTCTCACAACAGTACATAAACATTGCAGGTCAAAACGGCAATCGCTTATCCATGATTTTCAACTTTGTCAGTGATCGCACTTCGAGGCAATCCAATCCAATCCTTTAGGGCTCAGTCACACATTCAGGATTGTTACTGCCGTCCTTGATAGGACCATTCCCGATTAAAATTCATCAAAGTCTGATCAAGATCCTGTTATTTTTGGCGGCGAGAAATTCACAAACAAACATAGATTTTTTCAGGAAGCGTCCCGATTCAACCTTTCCAGCCGAATTCGTCCCCATTATCCCGTTCTCAATCCGAATCTGATCCGATTTGCATCTTCCGCATGGTAAAAAACGACCGTATCTGTCCCGACAGCGTCACGATTCTCCCAAATGCGATCCGACAGAGATCAGACAGTGACCGGACAGGGAACTGACAAAGTCGGTTCACATTCGACAAAATCTGGACGCAATCTGGACTCAATCGACAAGAAACGGCAATGAACATTTCATGCCCGTTCATCACGACAGCGTCACGATCCACAGGACACCGTCAAGACAACACAGGACATTGTTACGATTTTGATCCGATACAGCAGAATCTGTCACGACATATTCGCGATTGTAATCCGACTAGACAAAATCGGCTGAGTTTCCCGAATGTTACGGGACTCGCCATACTGTCGGGAGTGCTTGGTCGACCTCTCTGGACTTTTCCCGATCCATAGGACTCTTTTACATACGTATACGACTGCGTTCAAACAATGATAGGACATTCATAGGACATAGGATCATTAAGGATAGTAATCCGACTTTTTTCACTTTCCGTGTCGTAGCGCTGTCTAATCTCAAACGGGAGCCATAATCGGCACTGTGTGAACCTGGCCTTATCAAAGGGAAGCTACTCTAGTCTGTTCGACGTCACGTTTGATTAGAGTCTGCGTGGCCTGTGATAACGTTACGAAATGCAGTCAAATGTCCCACCCATCGGCAAAAGCGAACAAGGTACAAGTTAGGCCAAATCCAACTGCTTTAAAGTCGGGAAAGGCCCTTAAGTCGCATAGCTCCAAGTATGGAAATTGATATGCCAACTGTCCTCGCTAAATCACTTCGTTTATGTCTCCAGGGCAATGTTGCTGCACATGTAAAAGGCTCCAGTTAGATGTAAAGGCAACAGACTCCGACAGCCTCCTCGCTAAATCTGTTTGCCTACACTTGCATGACACTTGTTAGACACTGGCTTTCGATACCATTATCTTGATAGCGATAAAAAAAAAATGTACACCAGTTATTTGTCCAGATCGTCGATAGTCAATTCTGACTGGATCGTGCATAGACGTGGTGACGCCATGTTTGTGTGCAAACACGGAAACTACGGGGTACCTCCCTGGCCTTCCATATACATTCTGAACATTTATTCGATAATGAGTCCAACTTTCTGAGAAACATGTCCATTATATGATACATCTAGGCCTACATTTCTGCCTAATTTCACAGTTACATCAGCAGCTCCTCATACGGTGGTTCTGCGCTCTCTCTCTGCGCGTCCGTCAACTCGTCATATGAAGAGACGGAACCCAGCTAAGTCCACGCAAACACGTGACGTCACTGGTGTTACACGTCACAATTGTAATCATGTTCCGTGACGTCACAATCACGACGTAGCTGTCTGCCCGTATGGTGCTAACTTATCACGCTCTTCGATCTTTCCGTCGTTGTGAACATTAAGATGCCTCCTAACTGGATTCTACCGGCTCGTACGAGGTAAGATTCACATCTTCTTTGATGTGAGCAGTGGTATTGGCCAGTGACTTAAGCGTTCGCTCGTCAGGCCGCAGTCTAGGGTTCGATTCCCGACATGGGTACAACGTGTGAAGCATGTTCTGGGTGTCCTCAGAATAATGAGTCCTGATAATGATACAAGCGACATAATCACTAGTTCACTCACTCACTCAATCTTCCTTGAAGGTATTCGACGATATATGTAAATTCTAAATATAGGTCTTTAATTGTCACATTTAACTTAAGTTAAAATTTACATTTTGATTTTATGTCAAGAGAATTAATTGCGAAAATAGAACAATATATCAACTCCAACCATTAGTGTAATTATGTCTAAATGAGCTCC